GCCCTCGACTGCTTCAGGTTGTCAAGCGCCGCCGAGGCTTTAAGAGTTGGCCACGGTTTTCTCGCTAAATTTTTGATGTGTTGCTATGTCTTTAAGAATTATGTCTTTAAGGATTATGTCTTTAAGATTTATGTCTTTAAGATTTGTGTCTTTAAGAATTATGTTTTAAGGATTATGTCTTTAAGATTTTATGTCTTTAAGAATTATGTCTTTAAAGAATTATGTCTTTAAGAATCATGTCTTTAAGAATTATGTCTTTAAGAATTATATCTTTAAGAATTTGCCACGGTTTTCTCGTTAATTTTTTTTTCATGTGCTGTCTTTAAAGCGTTGGCTCAGTCCGAATCCAATTATTTTCGGATGGCTTGAAAATGGACTGTTGCTGTTTCGGGTCTTTATTTATGATTGGTCATTCTCTTCGTGTTCTTGACTGTACTTAATGAGTTTAATTTTAGCCATATGGGTTTCTTGATCAACCCCATTTAAGCTCGTCACCCCGTAATCCATTTTTCCCGTGAAACTAAAAGAATCCAAAAGGACATTCTTCGGAAAGGTCATTTTACTTTCCCTCCCTCGAGTTCCTACGAAGTCGAAGGAAACACAGATGCTTGCTGTCGACTCCACTCCCTCCCCCTCCACCCCCTAAAAAAAAACCCTTCCCCCCCCACCCCTCAAAAAAAAAAAAAAAAAAAAGATGCATGACCTCAGCCGCAAATTATGTAAATTGTTTTCGAAGCGCGTTTTGAATCCGAATCTGAATTCGAAGCGCTCCGAACACGGGATTCGGCGGGAGAGATTAGGGTGAGGAGGGTAAGATAAGGCAAACGAGGTGTATTTAGTATGAGAGTTAGAGGGTGATTTGCAAAGGGTGATGTTGCAAGGATGTTGCAGCGAGGGGGAAGACTTGTCAAGGGGAAGAGACAGCGGTTGAACGGGTCGAGAAGGGCGGGTTGCCTTAATTGCTGGTTATGTCGAAAGTAATAAAAGGATCAAAGTGAGTTGAGGGGAGAGCAAATGGTTCGAAATTTGCAGCGTCGTCATATAAGTACAGCGCCAAATAACGGTACTGGCAACACGAAAATCACCGTTGCAATTAATGGGTTATTGCTAAGGGTGAGTTTAAATGGATTTTAAAGCTAGGAAACAACTTTATTATGGCTGCTGGTGGTAGATACACAGCACATAGTCTCTTTTACGATTCGGAATTCGAGAATTTAAATGATAACTCAGGCACATTTTGGGTTTAGGTCTGCAAAGGAAGGAAGGTTCATTGCAACTTTCATGTGCCTGGCTTTTCCGAGTTTCTCGAGGAATGGAAGTTTGTAATAAAAATGCATAATGTATTCACTTACGCAATACACTTACCGTACTGTTGAGAAAAGCAAAAAGAACTGAAACACTCAAGTAGCACACGCGCACACACATATTCACGTGCACACAAAACACACACACGAACACACACACACACACACACCACACACACGCGACATCACACACACACACACACACACACACACACACACACACACACACACACACACACACACGTACGCACACATGTACATACACACAGAGCACTCATTTTCACTCCGCCATATGTAAGAGCATCATTTACTCATCACGAAGGTGTGCAACTCCCCTACCCCCTTGCCTCTCCCCCCTCCACCTCCACCACCCGTCCTCCTCTCCCTCCCCCTCCTTTCCTCCCCTCTTGTCCTTACTCCTCTCCTTCTTTCTCCTCTCTCTGTCCTCCTTTCCCCTCTTCTAGCCCCTCCTCCCTTCCCTCGTCCTCCTGTCCCTCCTCTTTTCCCTCCAGGGCACTTATATTCCCTTCTCCACACGCCCTCCTCTCCTCTCTCCTCCCTTTCTACCTTCCCCTCGTCTCCCCGTCCTCCTTCCTCTCTCCTATTCGTCACCTCCCCTCTCCTCCCCACATCCTCCTTTCCCCTCTCCCTCTCCTCGTCCTCACCTCAACTCTTCTCCCTTTCCAACCTCTCTCCCCTATTCTCCTTCCCTCATCGTCCCTCTCTCTGTCCTCCTTCCTTCGTATCCTCCCCACCTCCTCTTCCTCCTCTCTCTCTTCCTTCTTCCCTCACCTCCCCCTCCTCCTTTCCCTCTCCTCACCTTCTTACTTTCCCGTCCCACATCTCCTCTCCTTGTTCCTCCTTTCCCTTCCTCGTCCCGCCCCTCCCTTCCTTTCCACCCTCACCTCCCTCCCCATCTCCCTCCCGTCCTCTTTTCCTCCCACCTCCTCTCTCCTCTTTCCACCCTCCTTTCTCTCCCTCTCCCGCTCTCTCACCCACTCCCTTCTTTCCCCTCTCTCCTTCTCCTCGCCCTCTCTCCTCACCTCCTCTCTCCCCTCTTCCCCCACCTCCTCTCCTTCTCCCCTCTGACCCACATCCTCCTCTCCTTTCCCCTCTCTTCCACCCCCACTCCTTCCTCTCTCTCCTTCATCTCCCTCTCCCACCTCCCCTCTCTTTCCCTCTTCCCCTCACTCCTC